ATGATCACTGGAAATAACTGAGGCAGCAGCTGCAGAAGTGCGCGAAAGTCTTTCTGGGGGTTTCAAGAGCGGACAGTCTTCTTTTGCGCACATCTTCAACAGCGACAGTCTGCCAGAAAAAGCGTCGAGTGCAAAGTGAAAGACTATCAAAAAGACTATCGGACTGTCTTTTTGGTTTTCAATGATCACCGGAAATAACTGAGGCAGCAGCTGAAGAAGTACGCAAAAGTCTTTCTGGGGGTTTCAAGAGCGGACAGTCTTCTTTTGCGCACATCTTCAACAGCGACAGTCTGCCAGAAAAAGCGTCGAGTGCAAAGTGAAAGACTATCAAAAAGACTATCGGACTGTCGTTTTGGTTTTCAATGATCACCGGAAATAACAGAGATAGTAGCTGAAGTAGTTGACAAAACTAAACCAAACGAACCTCTGAAGATGGCGCTCTGACCAGCAGCCGAAACCCTGGCCGCCCAACCAGACAGCCTGGCGGCATCTGCGTCCATCAGCCAGCAAACAGGTGGCCCAAAAAACGCAACATTGCGGCAATTAACGCGCTCAAGTTGGTACTGCCGGCGGCCAGTTGCCGACGTTTCGCTTATTGCTAAATAAGGACACATCGTCGATCGGGGACCACCCATGTGGTGCCGATCGACGTCGATTTTCGTCCTTCGCCGTCCGGCCGGTTCTTCTACGACCGAACGAGCGAAACTTCTGGTGCGAAAACCGCACTAATTGGCTGTTAAATGCCAATTAATTTGCCAGCGATTGGCTGGCTAAAGCCCATAATTTACCGTATAGAAACCACTGGCCAAAGTTGGATGGTTTGGGGCTCTTAAGTAGGAGTTGGACTGAAAAGGCGCAGTCGGGTAGGTTTTTCCTGCGGAAAAAAACCGTCCTTTCTGGCCTGAGCCGCAGTCGAGCCCCATAAAGACGCGAATGCGATTTGAGAACACGCATGAAGAATGTGCAAAAATCCAATGTCAACGGCGACAACTGGAGGAAAAAGAAAACTGGTTCAGTTAATTACGGCGACTCGAATCGACTGCAAATCGGCCCATTAAGCAGGGCCGGACTGTCGATGGCTGAAGACCCCTACATGCAGACCGATTGGGAGCCTTAAGCCCGGAAGAACCAGCCTCCAGTCGACTTATAGGCGCAAATCCGTGCGCCTTCGATTTGTCAATTCTTCGGCTGATTAACACATTATCGACTAATCAAGCCAATTAGTGGCTTTCCTATGAAATGGCTTGATTACGGCCGACACCCGAGCTCACCTTGTCTGCGCATTTTTCGCGTTTTCGCTTCCGTTTTGGAGCAGCAAAATCGTTTTCAATTAGTTCGCATCGAACGCGCCTCTGAAGAAGCACAAAAAGCCTTTCAGGCTCAGAGGATTGGGAGTCTTAAGTTGAAGAAATGGCTTACCGGATATCGGCGGTCCGACGTTCGTCCTGCCTGCGCTCTCTGGAACGTTTCCTGCAAAAAAAACACTCGAATTAGTCGGAAATTTATTTAAAACCCTTGAGGGTGGCGCTGAAAAGTTCCGAAAAATTGCCTGAGGATGGCCAGAAAAGCGAAACTTTTCTCGCTTACACAACCGGGTTTTGCCTGCAAAATGCAACTGAAATTGACTGGCTGAGTTCACTGGTTGCTGTGGTAATAAATCCCAATTGCAACCGAACAAAACTTTGAAAATTTCTCAAAAACTGTCTGAAGATGGCGCAAAGTCGAAACTTTCTCCACGTATAAAACTGACCTTGTTGCACACAATTTGTACAAAAAGTGACTCGCTAACTTTTCCTGTTTATGAGGAAAAAAATGTCAAACTCCGGTCTGCAAAAACAACCTTCTCAACCGACCAAAATTTCGAAATTTTGTCAAAACTTGTCTGAGGATGACGCAAAGTCGAAACTTTCTCCACTAATAGAACAGACCTTGTTCCACACATTTTGCACAAAAAGTGACTCGCTAACGTTTCCAGTTTTTGAGGTAAAAATGCCAAACTCCGGCCTGCAAAAACAACCTTCTCAACCGAAGAAAAATTCGAAATTTTGTCAAAAATTTTCTGAGGATGACGCAAAGTCGAAACTTTCTCCCCGTATAGAAGAGACCGTGTTCCACACAATTTGCACAAAAAGTGACTCGCTAACTTTTCCAGTTTTTGAGGTAAAAAATGCCAAACTTCGGCCTGCAAAAACCACCATCAAAACCGAAGAAAATTTGTCAAAAATTGTCTGAGGATGACGCAAAGTCGAAACTTTCTCCACGTATAGAACAGACCGTGTTCCACACAATTTGCACAAAAAGTGACTCGCTAACGTGTCCAGTTTTTGAGGAAAAAAATGTCAAACTCCGTCCTGCAAAAACAACCTTCCAAACCGAAGAAAATTTCGAAATTTTGTCAAAATTTGTCTGAGGATGACGCAAAGTCGAAACTTTCTCCCCGTATAGAAGAGACCGTGTTCCACACAATTTGCACAAAAAGTGACTCGCTAACGTGTCCAGTTTTTGAGGAAAAAAATGTCCAACTCCGGCCTGCAAAAACAACCTTCTCAACCAAACAAAATTTCGAAATTTTGTCAAAAATTGCCTGACGATGACTGAAAGTCGAAACTTTGTGCACTTATAGAAAAGACCCTCCGCTACATTTCGCGGTAAAAAACAGCCGTCGATCTCGGCTGGTTTTTGAAGGAATAAATGCCAAACTCGGGGCTGCAAAAACAAGCGCTCAAAGCCTGGGCGATTATGAAAATTTGCCAAAAATTCCCTGACGATGACCCAAAATCGAAACTTTATCCCCTGATAGGACCCGCTTTGCCCAAAAAACCCCCATACAAAAGCAGCTCCCTACTTTTCCGAACAGAAAACATTTCCAAAACCCCAAACAGCCAAAATTTTGGACAAATCCCCCAAAACACCCTGAAGATGTCTGGGCATCGAAACTTTATCCATTCACGGAACACACTTCACCCCACAAACTTTACCCGAAAAAGCATCCCCACCCCTTGCAGTTGCAGAGCAAACTGATGCCAAACTTCGGCCTGCCAGAACCACCCCAGCAAATCACAGGCAAATTGGAAAATTCCCCAAAAGATGCCTGATGATGACCCAAACCCGAAACTTTGTCCACCAACCGAGGGCACCTTGCCCAACAAAACTCGCCCAAAAGCAAATCGTTGTCTTCGCCCGTTCTCGAGGGAAAAAACCCGCAAAACCCCTGCCAGCAAAAGCAGCGACTCAACACTGAAAAATCCTCCCGCCCGTCCTGAGGATGGCTGAAAATCGAAACTTTGCCAACTGACAGAACACCCCAGGCCCTATCAGGTGCAGCCAGAAAACCATCCCCACCCCTTCTGGTTGGGGAGGAAATAAATGCCAAAGTCCGACCTGCAAATAGGAAGCACACACCACTGCCTGATGAGGGCCAATACGACCGCAACGCAGCAAGGCGAAAAACCCGCCGATTCGCATACGAAAGACCGATAAATCACGGATCCTTATAAGTCGCTTGAACGAAACAAGTTCGATCTGGCAAGCAGCAGGTGACTGGCAACACTTGACGCACTTTGACTTCAATATGCAAACGAGCGGTGAGCAAAAATGCACTTATTAAACGGGTTCATTAATCATGCTGTTAGTAGAGCGCGAAAAGGCCCTTTTATGGCCGCGCACAAATTAATTATGCCAATTGGTTTCAGGATTTTTTCCATTTTTGCCGTTTGCATTGATTTGTCGTAATTTTTCACTTTTAGTCGCGTTTCGAGCCCCGTTTGGGCGCTCCCCAGCACCATCATCAGGCAAATTTTCACGGAATTCAAATGTCAGTTTCCACTGCAAAGCATGGAAGCGACGAATAATCGCTTCATTAAGCCGATTATGGGCGAGGCGCAATAATAACCGTTTAGGAGGCCGATAAGATCGGGCACCCGTCGCTACTTGTCGCCAGCAAGGATTTTTCGGCCAGATTACAAGAAAAAAACTGATCCGAAACTGTTACCGAACGCCGCTGGCTGCGCCCGATAAGATCACCGAAGTTTTCGCCGTTTAATTAGGGTGACCTAGACTTTCGACGCCAAGCCGGCAACACTGGCGTGCCCGGAGGGCACAAGCTTTCAAGGAGACAGCAGTGAGGTTGGCAGGTATTCCTGATGAACTTTCGGAGTGCGCAATGGAAACAAGCGGACAATTGATTTGGCAACTGCGCCCAAAAAAGT